CATAAATCTATATTTGAAAAGCCAAGCAAAGATTATATAAATCACATATACAAAATCACAAATTTAAATTCTTCTCTTCAGTTTTCCTCTTCAACTGCTCCAAACAGCCCAGTTCTATTTTGACTGATGTCATCCTAATTTAAAATGAAAGGATACTACTATATACCAAACAGGAAATACAAAAATAATTCAATCGAGGTTTTTAAAATGTTATTTATTTCATATCTATCATCATTTATATTAATAATAATAAGGATAACACCAGAACACAAAAAAGCATTCAAGTCAAATGCAAAGCTGATTGGCTTTTCAAGGAGCAGAGCCAACTTTCTTCCTCTAAAAATAAAATTTATGACTATTTTAGAAACATCAACAAACCGTATCAAAAGCAAAAGAAACAGGTATCTCACCAATGAAACACTAGACACTTATGATCTCCATAAAGTCCCACAGGCCAAACAAGATATTGCATCTGGTCTCCATTCATCAGCAGAATGAGCAGAGAAACAAGATACTCATCTGTTCTGTAAAGATTAAATCTTCAAAGATCACATGTTATAATTCAACCAATCATTAAACTAAAGCCCAGAAAAAGATTCTCAGAAAGCAATTATTTTTAATGAAGCTATTTTTATAGTGTCAACAAAAAAGAAAAAAAAATGAAAGCAAGGGAAAAAAAAAGATTTTTCAGCTGATTCAAATATTACTTCAGTCCAGTTGATCTTTTGTTTCAATTATTTGTAGAATTTTCAATACCAGCCATTTAAATAAAAAGAGAGTGATGAATTTCATAAACTAGTGGTGATAGTCATCTCTTTACAAGATTTTTTTTTTTTTAATTTCATGCACCTTTCTTTTAAGATTAGAACTAAAAGAGTCGTCATTATTCTAAAAGTTGTTTTGAACTATTAAACTCATTCTGTGTTGTTTTTGTTGTACAGTAGATTCATTCTACAGCCTTTTGAGATTGTCTGTATAAATCACATTGTTGTGAATAATTCAAGTCAGTTGGTATATTAGCCAATATTTCTTTCACCTATGTCTGTCAAAAGGATCCTTCTTTTAGCTTATAAATTATAGCACCTGAAGAGACTTGGAGAGTGAGCTGGCCAAAACATTGTGATAATAACAGCGATACAAAGGGAATTTAATAGTCTGAACAGCTCTTAAAATAATCGCAATTTATTGTGTGCCTTCTTGATGATTGCTATAATTTGATTTTTTTTGGTTAAATGTAACTAAGTTCTATGCTGACAGTTTCTGCACTAGTATTTCTCGCTCTTCCAGCTTCCTACTTTGCAGCCAACTTTAACCTTCAAAAATTTAAATGCAATGTCAATCGCTATCTATTGTATTCTTGATTCCTCTTTTATTCTTCTTGCTGTTTAATAAGGTTTTCTTTACTTATTCTTACATACTCAGTAACCCCTATGTCTTACTGGTTTTACTGCCCTGCTTGGGGTGAAAACAAAACTAAAAAAATGAAAAATATATTGTCTGGTGCTCCTGCTATATGCTTAGATGTTCTTGATAAAATCCCAGCTTCAGTTCCTTTCCTACTGCCATAATGTAGCTGACTTGTGCCTTTTGTATAAATACTTTCATGGTAATTGTTTTGATGAACAATCCTCTATTGTACCTAGACTTTATGAATTCAAGTGTAGCAATAGATTCGTGGCAAGATCAACTCATTTTACAGTGGAAATGTTTAGATGTAACCGTAAGTTCTATGCTAACATTTTCTTTTCTCCTGCATCTCCCATGTGGAAATCTCATCCAGCTTCTTGCTTTCAAGTCAACTTTGATCTTCAAAAATTTAGATGCAATGTCAATCATTATCTACAGTCTTCTTGATTCCACTTTTATTGTTCTCACTTCTTCATAATGTTTTTCTTTTTCTTTCACTCTCAATAACTCCTTGCATCTTTATGGCTTTACTTGGGGTAAAATGATTTTTTAAAAATTGTTTAAATATACACAGTTTACTTGTGTGCAGTGTTTATGGTCACAAGATTTTGGCCATTGTACTCTCTGGCCTTCCTTAAGTTTCCTTCTTTATACATTATAGTTAATAAATGGTTATTTGTTAGAAAGCCACACACAAAACATCCATGGCTACATTACATGCTCCAGTTAATACAAATTACCAAGTAATACTACAAATTCATCCCAAGCCCTCACAACCTACACACAAGTTGTTACTTTACTAAGCTATTCATTATTCTTCATGAAAGCACTGGTTTAAAAACCTTCTTACATCTTAATTTTTCAAGATATATATACATGTGCATAAATCTTTATTAAATTCCCCTTCAGCTTTACAAAAACCACAATTACATACAAAATCTGAATAATTCCATTTGTGATATTTTAAAAAGACTTAACCTCACAGATGATTAGGAAAACAATTTCTTAGTAACACAGTATATTTGCTAAAAACAACAGATTTACTCATTCAGAAATAAATTAGGGCTGATATATAACAGTGAGTGTTACATCTATACAAAAATATTGATTGGATATACCAGCATATTACACATTTATCAAATTTACTGAAAACAAATTTTACAGTGTGTCTAATAAATAGAGTTTTTTTTTTTTTTTGGTTGAATTTAAAACTTGTTCTTGCTGCCTAAATACACCTGCATATTGAAAAACAATGGTAGTTGGTTGGATTTAACTACAGCAGTGAAGGTAGTAATAAAAAGTGCTCAATACATGGTAGAGCATACAAAATCGTAAAACTAAATAATAAAAAATAAAATCAGTGTTTTATCATCAGTAAAGTAAAAATGTTATGTATTTATTAACATTTTTGAAAACCTAATTTCTCAAACTTAAAATAAAATAATAATTGCATTAAAATAAAATTCAACATTTACTCACTTTTGTTAATTAGATATTAAATTACATCATTTAGCATCCTCTATTATTTACCTGATCTTTGTTTTTTTATTTGTATTAATACTTGTTGCAAAATAAAATCCTAACATTTGCCTTGACAAAGTCCATCAGAGGATAAAATGCATCAGTAAAGAAAAAGTTTTCCTTTTGCGTTTAGACAGTCTTCTTACAGATATATTTTTTACACACACTATATATATATATATATATATATATATATATATATATATATATGAGAGAGACTCACAAGGAATACCCAGAATCAATGGTTTCATAAAGATGCCAATAATCTTCAATTGGTCCAGGAATGGTCCTACCTGAGTTGTTGGCTCCAAGCAATTAACAAAATAGTTTTTATTTCTACTCTTATAAATTGACATTTCATTATTTGATTTTTTTTTTTTTTCAATTCTATCAAAAATCCTTTCAAAATACTGTACTAATTAATTTAAATAATTACTTTATGTAAAATTCTTTTTAATCAAAACTTTTTCTTCAATGTCAATTGCATTATTTCTATCAATTTGTGACATTTGAATCTGAATTATGCTTGCAGTTTTCTATTTTTCACCACCTCCACTTTTTTTTTTTTTTTTTTAATAAACTGATTACATAGATGTCTATGATTAGGGCATTTTCTGCTTTATAGTGTGCCAAATAAAAAGATGTTCCTTTTTTGCAGTTTGGAAATAATTTTAACCCTCAACTGACTTGTGATGACTTCTAATAAATTTGGATGTCAATATCCTCTATCCCATGTACTATTTTTCTAGCAGAGACAGATAAGAGGCCCAAAATTATTCGTTTCTAGGATCAGATCATTTTACTTTCATAAAAGGACCTCAAATCCAAAAATCCATTCTACTTGATTATTAATTTTCTTGACTTGAAATAAATAAATAGTTGGATATGAAAAAAAAAATTATTTTCTGTAAAACTGGTTTCATAAAGTAGAGAAAAAAATGAATACATAAAATTCTTTTTCATCCTGGAATACTTCAAAGTCAGTATAACATGCCACTCAGAACAAACACTGACTTTCATTAAAATCAAGTATGCATTAAAAAGCAAAAAAAAAAAGCTTAAAATTATTGTTTAATCAACATGCTTTCAAATCAAATGAATTCTGCTTTAAGTGTTTTTAATCCTACAGATTTTTCAAAAATTAATAAAAACCTAATATTAATCAATCTATTTTCAATAGGCTATCTTCAATATTTCCTACCATTTACCTTTCTCATGACTATAAAATGAAACCAACCAATAAATTTTCTCACATATATATAAATTCCCATGATCCTCTTATCAAATAGAACAATATCTTCAACCTTCTCACTTAATATGACAAGTAAACAAAATTATTAGTTTTCTTTTTAAGAGAATCATTGACTGTTGCTTTGTTCATTTCACTTGAATCTTGCTTTGTAAATAAAATAAAAACATAAATAAACTAAAATCTACAGCATGTCTGTAACCCTTCTACTACTGCCATTTTTAAAATAGAAAGAACACTTGCTTGTTAAGGCATGAAAGCAACAAACCCTTACACTTATGTTGACATTTTGCTGAAATTTTGTGATAAAGATGAAGACAATAGTTTGAATGTTAATAATGATAACTTCTTGGAAATTCAAAAAAAAATTTTTTTTTTTTTTTGTAAATAGTTTGATACTTCTAAATGATATTTAAGAAATATCAATATCAAATCAAAATCACAATCAATAGAAATGAAATTATCAAGTTTTGATTGGCTATTTGAAATATCAAGAGAAACTTTGGAAGATTTAAATTTGAACAAAATACAAAGTATCAGATTTTATGTTGATTCATTTTTTTATGGTTTATCAACATGGTGTAAGTTAATTAAAGTCATAAATTATTTTTAGATTGTAAGAATTTAAAAAAAAAAAAAAATAATGGTTTAGTGATACAAGTTTTACTAATTAACCAATAACCAAGTAAGTGAAGGTGGATTCATACCTTTCCCAAGAGTATTTGCGCATAAGTGAATATAACAAACCCAAGTGGAATTGGAACTCAGCTCTCCCAATTAACAATTCCAAATCATTATTCATTACACCACCCTTACATGGAAGCTTACAGCACTTGGTATTCTTGAGTGGTCACCCATCTCGGTACTGACCAAGCTCAGCATTCCTTTACTTCAGTGATTGTACGGGAACTGGTGTTTCACCATGATATGGCCAGAGTTTATTATGTAATCATTTTCACAAAGTTAGTATTAACCAACTAATAATAAAATTTTTAGAATGTACTTATATTTATATGAGCAACATTTTGTGAGCTTATAGATTGATTGATTGATTGTTTGGTTGATTGGTTTCCTATAGTTTAACCTTTTGCAGGTTATTTAAAGCCAGAAAATATTTTTTAGCAAGAATTTTTTTTTACAGATAATAATGATTTCACTGATACAAGTCCTACTAATTAACCCATAGCTGGGGTGAAAAGAGGTGGATTCATAACTTTTAAGGGTATTTGCATGTAAGTGAATATGATGAAACCAACTGGAATTGGAATATGGTTCTCCCATTTCCAATTTCAAGTTGTTATCCATTTCATCAACACATCCAAGCTTACAGTACCTGGTATTCCCAAGAAGTCACCCATCTAGGTATAGACCAGGCTCAATGTTGCTTAACTTCAGTTATTGTACCAGGACTGGTGTTTCAACATAATTTGGCTGTAAGCCTTCGGCTTATAGTATCTATCCATATTATGAAATATGGACAACTTTTATTTAGGGAGGTGAGGGTGGGTTTTATCAGGCATATAAAATATTTTTTTTCTTTTTTTTAATAATTCAAAAAGATACAGGTTAGGGAAACCCCATTTGATTAAGAAAATATCCCATAAACCTAAATAGATTGTTTTATATTAACATATAAAATAATTTATTTAGCTGTATGGAACTTATATTAAGTTCCTTTAAATTCTATAAACATTGGTTTTGCTAATTTTCTGTTTCTACTGTAGCAGTACCTGAAGTTTTTATTGCTTCTCAGGAGATATTTATTTGAATATTGTTTCGATTTTTATATTTATCTCAATGATGAACCACAAGTTTTCTATTGGATTACAATGAGAAGCTAAAGGATCATTTCATTAATTTGATAATTTCATAAACCTTTTTTGGCAAGGAATATACTCTTCAGCATAAAGCTTCTTTATTGTGAAAATTTAAAAAACAATATGAAGAAAAAAAAAACTTGCTCCAAAATTTAAAATAATTCTCTGCATTTATCTTGATACCATCATCAAATTTCAAGGTACCTAGACTTTTATTGCTTACAATACTCACCCAAAACATAGGTCTACTTTTCTGATACTGTCTTCTAAGTTATGTGGATTGGTTATTACCATGACTGCTCCAATCTCAGTCATTGCATACATAAAATATAGCTCTGTTTTCATGTACTGCTTTACCCAACTTAAACCTTTCGTTTTTTGATGTTTATTTAAAGATGATAGTTTGGTTGCTTTCATGTGCTTAATAAGTTTTCTAGTATTTTTTCTGTTCACATTCATAGCATCAGCTTCTTTAAATATTTTCTTGATTATTACCCTTATATCTTAAATCTCTTTTTGTGACATTTTGAAAGACTTTTTTTTTCTTATTCTTATCTTGCTAAGGTTTATAATTTCCCTTTTGATTGTTCTTTGACCTCTATTCAATTTTTTCAATGTCAAACATATTTCAACAACTCAATTTTACAATATCTTGTTTCTTTTTTGAAGTTATCTCTTTCTTATGACCCATGGTAATCTTTATAAATCTGAAATTAAAAAATATATATATATCAAAACTATACTATTATATATATTCATTTAGGACAGACCTTATATTGTGCTCATTTTGTTTGCATAATAAAACACTCTGCACATAAAAACTAAGTTATCAGTATTTTTAATAGGAGAGAAATATTCGGAGCTGAAACTCACCAAAAATATTTTGTAGATATTTCTTACAAAAGATTAACTGAAATTCATATGGTATATCACTCATGTAAATATATCCAGAAAATGTTACCAATGTTGGTTGGTTAATACCAATTTTATTATGAAAACATTGACTTTAGAAAATCTGACAGGATATTAGCAAAAGCAAAAATCTATTGGCCTGCAGAATACAATCTAAAAACAATAAAAAAAAATTTTAAATTTAAAAAAAATTAAAAATTTTCTGACATTAACATATAGCTGACCTAAAGAGAGCCATGTACCATTTATTTATATTAAGATACTATGACAAAAATCTTTCATTAAATGATTCAAAGCTGAATACAAATGACAAATTATTCATGCCAATATTTTCATGTGTAAAATGCACAAATACCAAGCCCAGATTATTTGCATTTTTTGCTGTAGTTATTTGGTTAATATATATATATATATATATATATATATTATACACAAGCTTAAAAAACACCTTTAACCTTCATCATAATAGGTAGAGAGTAGATGTAATAAAAAAACAATACTTATACTCCTCCCTGCCTATTGTAATGAAGATCCAATCAAGAGCCCTCTGCAGGAGCTAGCTTAAAGGTGTCTTTTAAGACATGTGTGTGTGTGTGTGTGTGTGTGTGTGTGTGTGTGAAATATACTACATGAATTTCTGCTTACAATATCTGTTTTATTAAATATATTTAAAATGACCTGTTTGGTGGTGGTGAGATTTTATTCTGCAATAGATTTTTTTTTTTAATGTGTCTTGAGCATATAATCTAGCCAATTTCATTTAGATTCTTTTTCTTTCCATCATTTCTGTTATTAAATATCCTACATTGTGATAAGAGAAGATCTGCTAAAAATGGTGAAACATAAGAATCTGGATGCAAATTTACTGTGAATGAACTGGCAATTAAAGCACTTCCTAAACACTTGATAGTCTTGTTACAATGAGCAACTAATGTGTTTGTTAAAATATCTCTTGTGTTCATATAATCTTTTATTTAAACTTCTTGAGGTTTCCCCAATACATTCCTTCTGGCAATCCTTACAGGTTTATTCTAATTCCTCCTTCAATTTTTGGCTCGTTTTGCTTTGTATTGATTAAGTCTCTTATTGTTTTAGATGTAGTTGTAACAAATTTTATGTTTAGTTTAGATAAATTCTTTTCAATTGTAGATCTGATAGAGTTACTGGGTAGAACAATATATTTTTTTGATTTGTTGGGTTTGTCAAGAGGGGCTGCTTTTCTATTTCGGAATATTTTATGAACCTTTTGTTTCACATTGAATATAAAATAGTGAGGGTATTACACTTTTTAACAAATGAACATCTCGTTGAGACTCTTTTTTAAAACTTATATCTGCTAGTTTTATACTTAGATTTATTTTTGTACCAGTCATCTAACAGATATAAACTTCAAAAGGTCATAATAAAAGATGTGCATTTCTTAAAAAGTGTAATTGAGTGTTGCTTGATCATGGTTGGTAGAGCATACTTGCACTATTGATGGAAAAGGTAGTAAGAGTTCAATTTTTGTTTGGAGGCACATTTTTCTTGACTTCTTGATCTCTATGTGGGTTGACATTAATTTCAGTTTAAAGTAACACAGATGTCAACTCAAACACATATAGCCATTAAAAGTAACATAGTAATTAAAATTAAACCCAATGCAACCAAAGAAAAAGAAAAGCTGATTTCAAAACAAGGTTTTGGGAATGACCAAATAGTTTAAGTAATGGACATGTTTCTTGCTGATCAAAGTTTTCTTTAACTTGCCTTGTTTTTAAATAAAATTGTTTCCAATACTTAAAAACAAAGTAAAAAGAAAAATCTAATCTTAGAAATTTGAATGATATGCTTTGAATATGAAATTCACAAGTACTAAACACAAAAATTAAAACTTTAGCAAATTGTTAGTCTTCATGCTTTAAGCAAGCAAATTAATTCAATCAATGAAGAATATCCAATTTAAGATTTTCTTTATTATTTTTAGAATTTTCCAGACTACATTTTTATTTTCAAAAACATCCCTTTATCAGGACACTTCAGATATTTTCAAGAAAACCAAAATCAATAACCAGAGAATTTCAAATAATTACTTTAACAAAAGCTATAATCTAAATTTAAGGAATAGACTGATTTTAAGGTAAGACATTTTTGTCTGAATTGGACAGACACCTGAAGGAATTCACAACCAAAACCAACATTAATCAGAATAGAGCAAAGTACACTTCTAAAAAAGATAGTTTTATACATTCACAATATTTTTCCTGCCTTCAAAATCTTGAACATAAAAGTAATTATTAGATTAGTGGACATTCAAACAAATGAGGCAAGCAACTACTTTTAAAACAGTGGTATCCTTTTCTTCAGTTAAATTTTGTAGAAGTAGGAATTATCTATGATCCACACAACTTCAAAAAAAAGCTTATGAATATTCTACTGAACCTTACTAACTAATAAGAGTAAGTCGCCATCGTATATTTTAATGTTGGGAATATACTTTTGCTATTTTTAATCACCCATACTGCAGGTGTCACTAGTGGGCTTTCATCATATATGACTAAGAAATTTAAAAGACACAACAGTATGCTATGTCTTGTGTCTTACAAAACAATATTAGTTTATAGAAATAATAGTTATACTTTTAAAGTTTTGTGAATGAATACTTGTAAAAATGAGAAGCTTAGTTTGGTTTATTTTGTTTTACGGCATATCAACCTTAATGGGTTATTTAATGCCGACAAGATTTTTAGGATAGGCTCGTATGAATAGAATATGTATTCTTTCTAAGAAATCAGTTTGCAGATAGGTTTCATTGACAAAGAGATTTTTTTTTGTCTAGAGTCTGGTTTATTGCTTGTAATTTTTTTTTTTTTTTCAAAAATATATTGCTGGTATTTTTACTATAAAAATTTATTTTTATACTTTCATAGTGTTTTGACCCCAGTTTGGGGGGAGGTGTTAACTCTTTGCCCATGGTAAGGACCCTAACAGGTACTACCACCCTGGGTCAGATTGAACCAGGTAACAACAGCAATTAAGTAGTAGTTTCATTCTCCTTAAAACCTCCTGATTAGAGGCTTTGCTGCCTGATAAGTTTATTTATCCTGTAAAAACTAAGTAGAGTTCAACAAATAGAATGTTTTTAAAGGATTTTTCATGATCACATACATTTCATATATATATATATATATATATATATATATATATATATATATATATATATATA